GTACAGATAACCAAAATTTCTACTTAATACAGTAACAAAGTTTTTTTACATATTTACAACTCTGCTCCCAACTATAAGGATATATTTTGAGTTCTGTCTCCAACTTCTTTTTCTGTCATGAAGACTCAAACAGCAAAACTTTTTTTAAACCAAGATTTAACAATCATTTGGGGGAAATTCACCCCAGCAGCGACAGGACAGACAGTCCAATTTTCTGCAGCCTCCACGGATCTGAGCACTGCGCCGTTAGTTACAGCAGACATGAACATTTTATGCTTTAACGCTCTTAACTGTTCCATCACACTGTCAAGGTGTTGTATGAGCTCCTGTGTGGAAGTTACTTTGAGGTATCGTGGCACAAATAATTACTGCCTGAAGTATAAATAAATAAAGCAGGTCGGGAGTTAAAAAAAATAAAAAATAAACAGGAGGAATTCGGCGAGCACCCTCTGGAATATCCCAGAATATTACAGTGTTTTATCAAGATGGACCCCGGGCAAACTCTGTTGAATTTTATTCCAGTGATATTTTTTATTACATTTTATGACATTTAATGGTTATTTAAACCGGTCATTTGAAAACAAGTCTGAAATGAGAAAATCTCTAATGACGATCTGAGTTTAGAGCTAATTTATTCTGACTGCTGAATGATTAAACATGATGGTTTCTGCCTTTTTGAACAAGTTGTTTTCTTTAAGGATTTTCTCCTCTTGTTATTACTTGATTGCAGGACTTGGTCAGTGCGCTGAAATCGGAGCTGGGTGGGCTGTTTGAGGATCTGATTGTGGCTCTGATGATGCCATCAGTTTTATACGACGCTTCTGAGCTGCACAAGGCTCTGAAGGTAACTAATGATCCTTTTCCTCACACTGCATGTCTCTCATGAGTTAAAAGAAAAAAAAAACACAGGAAACATTAAGATTCATTAATTGGAATAGATGAAATCCTCAGGAAGATTGAAATGACWACAAAATCAATTCCCCACCTCATTGAAACAATCATTTTCCACCTTAATTAGCAGCTGCAGTTCTTCTCATTTAATATGCACAAACTGATGAATCGGCAAATGGGTTTACATTTTCATCTGCGCCTGGCTGCAGCTGCTTTCCTTCAGCTCTGCTCAGACTAAAACACCTGTTGGAATAATTCAGACATAAATGTTTGAAACTGAGAGCAGGTCTGAGTGAAGAACAGGACGGAGGCTGGACGTGTCCAAACTGTGCTGCAGCTGTTGTCCCTGCACTGCCTGTCCAAAAACAAAAAGTCCCCACCTGGAGTTAACTAAGCCTCCTATTGGACAATTACTGCATGGCTGATTATCTGTCAGCTGCAACAAGTTATTTAACCTCAACTGGTGCAATGAGTCACTTCTCATTTCTTAAACAACCACGTCGAAAGACACATCCTGTAGTCGTTGTAGTGTTGCAGTYAAGACCACCTAACCCAAGACCAGGTCAAGGTGTGCTGCTCAGGATGGGAGACTGTGACGAAGCAAAGATTTGGTGCAGTCTGCTGGCTTCTTTAGATTGATTGATTGTTTTTTATTTTATTTTATTTTTTGTGTACAGTGCCCTGAGACAACAGTTGTTGTGACTTGGCGCTAAATAAATAAACTGAATTGAATCGAATTGACCAAGACCACAGTGTCTCAAGAACAAGACAAGATCAAGACTTTTAGGGCCTGGACCAAGTCGAGACTAGCCTGGTAAAAACCAGACCCTTGTCCTTCGCTTTGCTTCGTTACAGGGGTCTGGACTCTCAGCCATAGAGAAGCGATTCTTGCTGGAGGCGTGGCCTCTGCTGAAGTTTAAAATGATTGGATCGGTTGGCCGCGATGTMTGTGTGCCAGCTCCACTGTGAAGGAGGCTRAGCTAAGAAGCTAACCGGAAACCGCGTGCGCTGTAAACAACCTTTACTGACAGCTGGTAACAAAATTACATAAATAGCAATGAATCATGTTCTAATTCCAATGAAAACAAGGATGTTAATTAACTGGACAATGTTGTGGCCATTTAGTGATATTTCTACAATTGTTAGTCATCAATGTCCAAGACCGAGACAAGACCAAGTCTTTCTAAATCGTGGAAAAGATGTCAGTCTGAGAAGGGTCAAGTCATTTGGCACACAGAAACTACTACGATTGGGTTAAGAACTGTCCAGTGCGTTAATAAAAACTGGAAGGATAGTAGAGACCCATCGTCTTCGAGGAAGAAATGTGGTCAGAATCCTGATTGATCGGGGATAACTTCAACTTTTGGTGAGATCACATCGAAGAAAATCAACAGTAGAACTCTGGGCTATGTTTAATAGTGAAAGTAAGAGCGTTTCCACATGCACAGTGTGAAGGGAACTCGAGGGATTGGGACTGAACAGCTGTGTAACCTTAAAAAAACCTCAAATCAGTGTGGCTAACCWAGAAAAAAAGGTTAAGTTTGTTAGGAAGCATAAAACTTGGTCCGATGAGTCCAGGATTTAGCCTGTTCCAGAGTGATGGGCACATCAGGGTAAGAACAGAGGCAGGTGAAGTGATAGTGGTTAGACTCTATCATCATCACTGCAAGGTCTTGGTGAATAATTAATGCAACACTGGATGGAAATAAATCTTGTGACATTGCAGAAGTGTGATGGACTTGCGACCTGTCCAGGGTGTACCCCGCCCCTCGCACTGTGACTGCTGGAAATGGGCACCAGTGACCCAYGCAACCCTGAAAAGGAAGAAGCGTGTACAGAAAATGGATGGATGGACGGATGGGCATTGCAGAAGCTTATTGAAGTGATGCCGCAGTGAATGTGTGCCGCTATCAAAGCTAAAGGCAGTTCAACGAAATATTAGTGTGACCTTTTTCTTTTTCGCCAGGCAGCGYATACAACATGAGCTAATAATGTTTGCAAGGTGACTGCAGAATTGCAGATCCTCTTAGAGGTTTAAAGTGAACAAAATGTTACTTATTCCAGTTTATATAACAGTTCTCATTACAAAAATACACAGGAGGGCAATAATGTGTCTGCCTGTGTCTGTCAGCTGAATTTTAATGAAACACTGACAATAAAACTGTGATTTATCATAAAAAAACAAAGAAACCTGGTGTTAATGTTGAAACCTGAATTTCGTTTTTTAAAGGAAAATAGATTAAAATCTATGTGAAGCTTCGTACCTCGGAGCCATTTTAATTCGATTGCTTTTTCTACGACACTCAGGGCTGATACAGTTTGTGCTGTGAGTTGCTGTAAAATCCATATTGTTTCATATTGAGCTCGGTCTCACGCTGTGTTTGGATCCCAGGGCGCCGGCACCGAYGATCAGGTCCTGATTGAGATCCTGGCCTCCAGGACCAGCGAAGAGATTAAAGAAATCATCAAAGTCTACAAGAAAGGTGACGTAATGAGGCAGATCAGGGTGGAAGAACATCATTACTGAGGCTGAAGCTGTGCTCTGAATGAACTTTAATAGACTTCACCGCTTTTGTTTTGTAATATTTGTGACTGAAATCTTATTTATAAAGACTTGGTCAAATCAAATGACTGTTACTGATAAATTATGGACCAAATTAGCTTGTATGACATCAATGATGTGATCAGCAGAGGTCTATAAAGCACTTGAGAGAAAAATAACAAAGTAAAATAAAAATACCTTAACAGAAAATGACTTTGGTAAATAAATAAATTTCACTGAGAAAAAAACTTTAGTAAAAGTCATAAAACTGTTCACAAAAATTGGGAAAGTAGAAGTACTTTTACACACTCTCTAAGACAGGGGTGCCCAAACATTTTCCCTGTGGGGGCCAAAATGAAAATCTATCCATGGCTGCGGGCCAAATGCAGTAATATAATACATGAAATACAAATACTTTTTAAAAGTAAAGTCCTTTATTTTTAACCATTAAGCTGTGCAATGG